TGGATGTTGGTTCTGGATGTTGGTTCTGGGTGCTGGTTCTGGATGTTGGTTCTGGGTGCTGGTTCTGGGTGTTGGTTCTGGATGTTGGTTCTGGGTGCTGGTTCTGGGTGCTGGTTCTGGGTGTTGGTTCTGGATGTTGGTTCTGGGTGTTGGTTCTGGGTGCTGGTTCTGGGTGTTGGTTCTGGATGTTGGTTCTGGGTGCTGGTTCTGGATGTTACGAGATGCTTCATGTTTAATGAACATCTTACTGAAGGTTCTAGATTACAGGGTCCGGTGTTTGGTTCTGTTTGAGGACATCAGAACCTGTTGCTGAATGAATGATTGAACAAATAGTTCCGCTCATTTGAAAATATATGAAATGCTTAAAATTCAGCTAAAATATTTGGTAGAACTTTGGTCCGACTGACGCCTCCAGAACTGGGTTCTGCTGAGAATCACAGCATCATGAGGATGTTTCACTGTGAAGCTGCTGCAAACCGCCGACAGTCGTCTCATCCGTGTTGTGGTTCTGGTCCGACAGGGAAGGTTTGGTTACTATCAGATGAGGTTGAGCATCAGGGACCGGTTTAAGTTGAGGGATGGGTTCCTACTGGACCTGTTTCTAGCACCGGTCCGTGTTCTGCTGTTGGGTTCTCAATAGAACAGCACAGACTGATGGTGTCACAACCAGCAGCTCCTCAGCCTCGTGGTGGTGGTTCTGAGTCTGTCAGGAGTCCAGACCCATTGGACACGCTGAGTGGATGAACAGCTGTGACTCAGGGTCAGTGTGAAGCTGCTGCAGTGAAGTCTGACTCTTCCTTCTGTGCTCCTTCAGAATAAAGGCTCCCTGCAGTTCGAGGACAAGTGGGATCTGATGCGGCCCATCGTCCTGAAGCTGCTCCGACAGGAAGCTGTCACCAAGCAGCAGTGGTTCGACTTGTTCTCGTAAGAAACCTCTGCATCCTCAACACAGTCAGCTCACATCGGTCCAATCAGACTTGTGGGATCACTGGGTGAACAGAACCGGGTTTAGCAGCTGCATTCACACCAACAACACTCAGCACACGTTTGTTTCTCTTTCATGGACTTTAAAGAAAAATCATGTAGAAGTGCAGAAGTTCGACTGTTTTATTTGTTTCCAGGCCATAAAGCAGATCTGTGGTGTTAGAATCAGATGAAGCTCAGATAACAATGAAGAGGAGGAACATGTTGAAGACGAGAAGCCAGTGATTTATTATTTGTCTTTTTAGTGTTCCTTCTTTGTAAGTCATCATTCTGTTGTTTTATTTTTTATCTCTGTCCTCAGAGACGTCCACGCCGTCTGTCTGTGGGACGATAAAGGTCCTGCTAAAATCCACCAGGCTCTGAAAGAAGACATCCTCGACTTCATCAAACAGGCTCAGGCTGTAAGTGTTCAGGCTGGTCAGCTTTGGTGCTCCTGGCTGCTGCTCTGGTTGTTTTTAGCTTCAGTCAGATGTTCAGACTGATGGAGGTTCACTTTGAACTCTGTAAAGTCACAGTTTTATCAGGTCGGACTTTGGTGTCGTCTCTGTACCAGGTTCCTCATAAAGGCTGCAGAGAGAAAACCAGTCAGGTGCAATCAAGCTCTGTCTGTTGAAAACCCTCAGACAACCGTAACAACAGCAGTTTATTCATTCATGTCAGCTGAGGAATAAACGCAATACGGACTTTAAGTTCTGAACGTCATCAGTCTGGTGGTTCATGTCTGAAACAGACGTTTAGGAAAAAGAGCCAGACGAGAATGTAAAAGTCAAATAAATCTGAAAAGAAAACCCCCCAGAACCACCTCAGAACATCTGGTTCTGTATCCGCAGCACCTCTATCTACTGACCAGAGTTCTACCTTCAGACTGTGAATGTTCCAGAGTTCCAGGTCCTTGAAGTCCATAGAAGTCCACAGATGTACTGATGAAGTTCTGAGGCTTGGAAATGATGGGAAAAGTCCATTAAAGTGATAAATCTTAAAGTGATAACCGACCCTTTCATTGCTCTCCTCTGGTGCATGATGGAAGCCTCAGCCTGTTTGCTAAGCGTTTGTTCTTTGACCCGCATCACCGCTGACCTCTGCCTGCATCTGTTGCCATGGCAGCGGGTGCTGAGTCACCAGGACGATACGGCGCTGCTGAAGGCCTACATCGTGGAGTGGAGGAAGTTCTTCACGCAGTGCGACATCCTGCCCAAACCCTTCTGTCAGCTGGAGATCACTCTGATGGGCAAACAGGGCAGCAACAAGAAGACCAGCATGGAGGACAGCATCGTACGCAAGGTGGGGAGGAGGGAACACGCCGACAACACACCTGACGACACACGTGACAACACACCTGACAACACACCTGGAGACAC